CACCATACGAAACACAGCAGTGTCAAGCTGCTATTTTACGCAGGTCGAGCCGACCCATTCGTGCTACAACTATACTACTAAACTAATATAGCTGAAGTATGGCTCTACCACGTATAAAATAATTACACCGAATATATATATAACTGTGTCAGTAATTGCAAATAAGCAAAACTGGAAAAACATCTATTCATCTAATAGACGAATAAAGATATTTGAGTTAACGACAATTTTATAAAGGTCACATAATTGAACTTTAGTTGTTTTTTTTATTTAACAATTGTGTAGGAAATTGGCCGATTAGGGACACATCAAAAGGCACTTCTGTGCGCAGTGCGTGTGACTCAGTAGTTAGGATGTTTAAGCGAGTGGCGCAAGGCCTGCTCGTCATCTCTCTAGTTCTGACGAGCACGTCTAGTACACTAGTAAGTGGTGCTACTTTATTTTCTTTTTTATATTTGTTTAAGTCTACATACAGTCAAATAAATAAGAGTACACAGTCTACCTGGTAAGTGGATGCTGTAGCTTCCAAAAACATTTATTTATCCTTGACCTTGGAAGTAAGATAGAATTCCATGGTATATATATATATATGAATTCGGTTTAAACTTCAGGAAAGCATTTACACAGCAGTGAGAAATCATATTAAATATATATATATATATCATTAATAAAATTCCACCACCCAGGCAAAGTTGTGTCACTCAAGTTTTCAAAACAATGCACAAAATTTTTGCTTTTTGAAACGGTGTCCCGCAGTAGAGAAATGTTGAAGCGATACGTAGGTTTTGTCATAGACTTAGAATATACTTACGCCAGTATATTCTGTTTTTGACGTTCTAAAGCTGCTTTGTAAAGGCCATCTTTGAATTAAAATAATTTGACTTTGCCTCCATAGCGTAGAGGCTAAACTTTGTGCTGAGACACTATGGGCCTTTACTTCGAATCCTTCAGGAACAAATATGTATATGTATTAGAAATAATAATTTTACTTTTCTCCGTGTACAATTTATATAGCATCAACGATCATATATTGTACGGTGGGTAAGGTACAATATATGATACAGTATAATATGAAAAATATGTGTATGTGTGTGTGTTTCCTGGCGGTGTAATAGAATCCCCATTTCGGTCCCATAGGTGTTGTAAGAGAGGAATATGAGAAGTACCAAGAAAAAAGATAACTTTCCGTTTACGCCAGGCGTAAAATACCCAGACCCACCCAGCGAGTCATCTGGTGCTGGCACTGCGAAGCTTTATTGTATGCTAGTGTTTTATATTTTGAGTGAGTATAGTCTGTTCGACAAGATAGTGTCGGTACACCCGGAGGCGCACTTATTAGTTTGCTTTTATTTTATTATTTTTGTTAAATAAATATTTTTCTATTCTAACAATAAAATAGAATAATAGTATTCCATTTTATTCTTATGGTTATTGTAATAAAATACGGATATAAATAATAAAAACAAGTTAGGTAGCAAAAAAAATCTTTCACTATGGCGTGGCGCTTCGTTTTAAAATGCCAAATTCTCCTGCGGGTGTACGCCGCACTAACCCACACATCACTATTGAAATTAGGTAAGATGTTTTTTAATGTCAATAGCCATGCTAACCATCGTTGGTAGGAATCGGTATTCTTTTACGAGGATTTGTGATCTATCAAATCTGATGTAATGGTTGGGACGATCTTCAACATGTTGATATCAGCTATATCAGCTAAATATTCTTATACGCGGGTTTTTTATTTTTGCTTGTTAGAAAGACTACATTCAGAATCAAGCTTGCAGGTAAGGACCTACAACTCACGCATCTTGTAGAGGGATATTTCAGATTAACGGATGGTGAGAACTGATTTGTACCTAGTATATTCTTATCGCTTCATGATGTAGCCCATTTTGTCTGTTTTATTCGATATGTAGTAAAGATGATGAAAGAGTTAATTATACTTTCTTAATGACCCCATATGAATATCAGCTAGATAGAGACATAAACACTCACGCCTGTCACCCAGAGGGGTAGGCAGAGACTATGGACTTCCATATAGCACGATCCTGACACACCTATCTCGCTTCTTCCATCTGGTGATATATAAAGTTTTATTTAAATTTCACTATTCAAAGTTATAGCAATTTTACACACGATAACACACTCGTTCTGCCAAAACCGGACTTGTTAATATTCGTTGCTCTGAGTTTGTAACGGAATGCACAGCTTGCTGTCGGGCCATTGAACTTTGCAATTCGCAAAATAAATTAGCCTCTGCATGTCACCTACATTTCATTTTACGCATACAATACATATTAAGATTGTAGGTACCTACTTATGTAAAAGTAATTGTAGCATTTTAGTGTATTTAAAATAAATATTTTGTCTCATATTGGTCTGGGACTTATAGGTTCCATGTTTGTGAGGGACTTATTACAAAGCGGAATGTTAAAACTGGGTTAGGCATTCTAAGCACGTCGCAAAAGGCGACTGACTCATGGAATGTTATATTCAGTTTGTGAATGTGTAGTCAATGCGCTAGCTACCTATAATTTCTTTCACAATTTGCCTTCTATACAGATTTTTTGGCTAAGCGGTTAATCTTTATAACTTACCTAACTCCTCGGGAATTACAGGCATGATGTACATTAATTCTTTATTAGCTAGGTAGTTTGTCTACTTAACATTTGTGAATGTACTGAACAGCATTTATGCAGCATCTATCGCATTTACCACGGGGAGTGCTCTGAGGAATTGTTCAGGTTAATTCCAGCCACAAAATTTCACCAATGCACAAACTCACGTGTGGATGGACACCATCTGGATGCTTGATGACGGTCTACCACTGTGCGTTTCATTAGGAGTTTTCTTTCTCACACTACTTTTTTACTACGTTATAAAATAAATGGTTTACCACCCGCGATTTTTATACGATACAATGACGACTTAGAGATCTTCAATAAATGAGCTTACTCCTTTTTAAAACACCGGCAACACACCTGTAATTACCCTGCTGCTAATGTTGTTCAACGCCTCAACACTTACCATCAGGTGAGCCGCATGCTCGTTTGCCCCCTCTTCTATAAAAAAAACCTGCAATGCTTGCTTGTTTGATGCAATCGCTTTCTTCCACGAAATTATGACCTCACAAATGAAACTTGTGAAAATTGAAAGCGATAATGGAAGTGAATTCATCTCAAGCTACGCTACGGCTAAGCTAGCGTCGGCTTTTGATGAGTTTCAAAACTATCTGATCATTTGCAAGCACAATAAGTTTATTTGTGCGCAGATTTTCTCTGAGTATCAAAGAAATTAAATAATTTTCAATTGTTTAAGCAGAGTCAATCTTAGCCATCTTCGTCCTTATGTGGCTTTCCAAATTGAAATGGTTGGAGACTTGGAGGCGATGAAGTCAAATTAGAAGGAAGTAAAAACTTTACATTTGAGAACAATAAATATTTTTAAGTCAAATTTATTAATATAACAGTTTTATTGAACGAATAATAAATACCTATTATAGATAAAAAGGGCAGATACTCAGTGATAGAAATTTATCATTAACAAGATCACCAGGTGTGCAATGTATTTGACGATTGCATTTTCAAACAATACGCACTTAAGACTGCACCCTTACCTAGACCTTACGTGGGTCAGGAGATTAATTTGTGTTGTCTGACAGATAACAAGTAATTAAATAATTCTATAAAAAATATAAAAGGTATAATAATGATATTTATAAAGCATGATTTGTTATGCGTAAAAAGGTGTAAAATTAAGTACTTAATAGTTGATTTTTTTAGGAGAACGCACGGAAAAGGAGATCACACCGGCGCTAGACCACCAAACATTGACCATCACCTTTCTAAGGGTAAGTTTTCGTTTAGGGCATTGTTTAGGTGCTGAACCAAGATCCAATCAACTTGCTGAACGCTTGCGATTGTCAAACAGATTCCATTTTTCGTCGCATATAACAATCCTGTTCAAAATTCCTTTGTTTGTGTGCCTGTTGAGCAGTGCAAGGCACGTCTCGACGCGTACTCAGCGCTGGCGATCGTTGAGTTCGTGGGGCACCGATTTCTCAAACTTTTTTATCTTGCCAATTTGACGCAAATGGACCAATATTTTTAGTTTAGATGCTAACGTCGAAAGCTGCTGCTAATTCAGCCGTAGATTGAGTACCATCAGCTTCCACAATCACCTTTAATTCGTCATTGTCGGAATTCTATAGTTTTACCATTTTCACAAGAACTGATTTTTATATCTGCTTTGTTCTGAATAACGACTTTGTTTTTATTAGGGGCGCCTTGTCATTGCCTATATTTGCAGCACCTAATTAGCACTTAATTCCTTGCTATTAATATTTATCGTTTATATACGATACGTTTTGCCAGCAACGCAAATTACAACAGATCGTTGCGGTGACAATTTTAGAGCACCTAATTTTTAAAGTTGACACCTAATTAGCACCTAATCTTGACTTCTATATGAAAATTCCTGACTTTGCGTTGCTGGCGAGAAACAACTCTGCAATGTACAGTATAGCTCTCCCACGTCGAAAAATCTAATTATTTCGATTTTTTACGTACTACTCGTAAAAAATTTAAGTAATTAGATTTTTATTTACATATATAATTAGGTACGATACGGTAGCGCCTACCGTTCTAACGACTTCCTATTACATGCTAGGCAAAATAAATAATCTTTTTCCAAATATTTTTATCTCTTTAAACTTTCCGAGAGTTGACTGATAGACGATGATACAAGATGTTTTGTAAAGTTTAAATAAAATAAATATGAGGGGAGACAGGAACAAAACCAGCAGCGGAACAGAATAAAATTTTTGTATTTGTTTTTTATAATGTATATGCTTGTCTCTTAATAATCACAACGGATAACCGTGATCAAGTTGTACTAATTCCGTATTTTTATTACCTACTCCGCTACACTCCACACCTCCACACTCGGCGACGCAGTTTTTAAGTGGCAAGACCTGTTGTTTGGCGAAATTCACCGGCATAATGTTGAACTTTAACATACTCGACATAATATTTCTAAATTTGACTGTTTCATTAGTTTTCATCGGTAGCTTAATTACGAAATATGAAAAACACTTGCCTGTTTTTTTAATAAAATTTTATAGTTATGGCAGTTTTGGTTACAAGGGCTCCGACGGTAAAATTTTGCAAACTATCGAATTGCCTAAATCTTATTTCAGACATTTCTACGTGTTTTCTGCCCTGTTTAGTACCGTGACTTTGATTTATATGTTCTTGGTGTATTTTCTCAATTTGGAAATAAATACATACGTGCGTGCATCATTGAAGGCTATTTTTGGACAAGAAGAACCTGCAGGTATGTAGTGCATGAATAATTCATCTGATATGCTAGTATTGCGAGTTTTATATTTGAATGAAATAGAGTATCCATGATGAGCCGTGGTAGCTCAGATGGTTAGAGCTTGTTGTAAATTTCACAGTACGCGAGCAACCTGGGTTCTATCTCCAGCAGCACCAATGAAATTTGGTAATTGTGGTGCTCGGCGGTGAAGGAAAACATCGCGAAGAAACCTGCATGTCTAAAGATAAGAAAAAAAATATTTCGAAGACATGTGAAGTTCGGCAACACGCATTGAGGCAGCGCGGCGGACACTTCCTTGACCTAAAACCCTCTCAGAAATGAGAGGAGGCCTGCGCCCAGCAGTGGGCGTATATAGGCTGTAACTTTAACTTTTTTTAAGGATCTCCGTCAGCACTTTATTACACATTTTATCACGTGATAGAGCCTTACTTGTTTAACGTGGTTTATATTAGGGTTGTAGCACGAATGGGTCGGCTCGACCTGGGAAGGACCACACTCTCACAGAATACCAGCGTAAAATACAGCTTAATGCTGCTGGGTTTCATATGGCGAGTGTAGAAAACTGGAAACCCTTCATTCTTACTGGAAACTAGGTTCGAATTCTATCTGCATTTTGATTATCAATCGAGGATAGGTGTAGGTGTGGTCCTTCCCCGGTCGAAAACGTTTGTGGCAGACAGACAGACACTTAGGTAGACAGGATCTCGTAAGTGTTTCGTTCTACTAATTTTGGCATGGAACACTAATGATGTTAGTTAACCGAAGTCTTCGTGTGGAAACTACAGGAAAGGGTATAATAAAAAAAAATTACAACCTATTTTCTGCTGTCGATGGGCAACTTCAAACGAAGAAGGCCACTTCTTAAGCTGTAATTATTTTTTATTATCCCGATGGTAAATGGTTGCTTTAGCCATTATTTTAGTAGGTGGCCATCTACAACCAACTTCAAGCAAATGAGGCAGAGAAACTAAAAAGTGCGTGTTTATTAATTATACTAGACTGAATTTTTTAAAAAAGACAGCAGAGACGAACATGTACTGTTGATTGGCGGCGTCTTTTTTTGGATTAAAGGTGACAAACGAGCATATAGTGCACCTGATGGTAAGTTGATACTGAGGTCTATAATATCTACATTTACTCTCGGTTGAGAATCAAAATGCAGATAGGTACGTTGTCATCTCTGAGGACTAAGATGCAATGCCTCGTTTCCAGTAACAGGGATCTCCAGTTCTCTAAACTCACCATACGAAACACAGCAGCGTTTAATTGCTATTTTACATTGGAATTCTGTAAAAGCGTGGTTCTTCCCTGACCGAACCGATCCATTTGTGCTACATCCATAATATAAATCACGTAAACAAGTAAGTCTTTTATTAATTGGTTCTACATTCATATCAAGACAATGTTTCACAGTGACGGCAACAGCGGCTTTCATAGCAATGAGCCTTATTACATTCCATTGCGCGAGGCGATGCTACGAGTCTCATCTTCTCCAAGTGTTCGCGAGCTCTGGCAAGATCAACATATGTTACTATGGGACTGCCTACGTACACTATGCGACATTTATTTTGGCCACCGTTGGAGAAGCGCCGCTATTTTGCGGTAAGATCCATAATTAATAAATTATTAAGATCCAATGTGATTTGAAAAAGAAAGCCATATAGTGACCATGTGCGCCCGACGTCAAATATACATGCCGACGACAGAAGCATCGTTACAGGAGCGTAGCTTCGTTGTTCGCCTTCCTTACTATGAGGGAGGCCCATGTACAGCAGTCAGCGCCTGATTTAGAATTATGACAGCACTAGGCTAACTATGAATATGTGCCCCCCGGCTTACCCTACTTACTAGATTTTTAGGGTTCCGAACCCGAGGGGTAACCAACGGGACCCTATTACTAGGCCTCTGCTGTGCGTCCGTCTGTCTGTCAGCGGGTTGTGTCTCACGATCCGTAATATGTAGACAGTTGAAATTTTCACAGAATGTATATTTCTGTTGCCGCTATAACAACAAATAATAAAAATAAATTAAAAATTAAAGGGCCTCCCCTACTAGTAATGTGTAACGTGCACGGAACTACTCGCACTTGGCTGGTTTTTATATTTTACAAGCTATAAGCCCCGCGGTTTCACCCATATTAAATTAAATGTTGCTGTGAGATTATGGTATTTTCCCGCGGTAAAAGATCTATTCTATCTGTTCAGCAGATATAAAAAGGTAGCAGACAATCATACAGACTGATTTGTTTTGCGTTTATAATATTGGGTACCTACTGTGTGTAGATATAGTTTTTTTTTCTAATATTCTATTGTACGCCATTACAGTTAGAGGCCAATTTAGCCTTTCCTTCCAAGTGACCACAAAACTGCACGTTATTCGATATATCGACGCCGAAGATTCCACTACTGACTGTGGCAACAAGGGAAGTACTCTAAAATTGAGGAGATACCACAAAGCAGTTCTTTTTTACAGTTCTAATGGTCCCCCACATACAAACTGACATCAGTCCAACTGATCAGTTCAAACTAGGATTGTTGGCATTTTTTAAAATATCGGATTTTCAATATATCGATAATTATAAATATATCAATATCGGAGTTTTAAATTATTTTTTATAGGAGAGGCCTATAGTTGGACGGGTCTGAGCGGTCGCCTTTTTTAGGGATCGAGTGGACAAAAGCTGTCTTCCATGAATTCGGGACTACGCCTTGGGAGTAGGAGTACCGGAAAAGACGTGTTTGGACCGGTGCCAACTCCGGAGCACACGTCCTCAGCAAAACTGGGGGGATTCCGTCAGGCCCACTCGACTTCTAGATGTCCAGGAAGAGGAGTGCTTTGCGAACCGAGTGCTGTGAGAACAGCACATCCGGCATGGAGCACTCACACCGCGGGATGGTCGGTGGTGTTTTCCCCCCGTCATCAAGAGCTCGACTCGGAAGGGAGCCTAAAAGGTCGGCTTTGCCTTTTGCGGCATGGGCCAGTGAGTCGTCCTCCCTGTGCAGAGATGATAGTGATGGCTTACAGAAATTCCCTTGGACAGCCTTGGCGAGAGACCAGAATGCATGGGTTCCTGAAGGAAGGCGAACTAGTTTCTCGCCAATTCTGCCTATGTGCTCTGACTTTGCCTTGGCAATAACTCTTTTGAAGGACCTGGAGGCGAAATTATACTTCTTTTTAAGTGTGGTGGTGTTTACATCCCGAGTCGCCGAAGCCGCAGCCCAGGCTTGATAACACTCCCGCTTACTGCGTAATGCAGTCTTACAGGAGCGACCAAACCAAGGCTGAGATCTGCCTCCGATGGGTACCACAGATGATGGAATAAATAGTTCCATTCCCTGTAGCACCACATCAGTGACAGAGTCAGCAACAGCGCTGGGATCATCCGGCGAGAAGCAAGCCCGCCCCCATGGGTAGGATGCAAAGAAAGACCGCATTCCGTCCCAATCCACCGACCTGTAATGCCAAACACGGCGGTATCCTGCAGAACGCAACCGCAAGGGGAGCGTGAGTGGCACCACACTACGGTTCAGACAATGGTCTGAAGAGCCGAAAGGAGCATCGACGGAAACCTGATATCCGTCCGGATGAGAGGTCAGCAGAAGGTCCAACAGGGAAGGTGTATGATCCTCAACATCTGGAATCTGCGTAGGCGAAGTAACCAGTTGTGAAAGACCAAATGCAAGGCAAAGTCATAAACAGATCTCCCCGCATGATCGGTTAAACGTGAACCGAGCCATTCGGAGTGGTGGGCGTTAAAATCGCCAAGGATCACGATCTCTGCGGATCGGACCTGTTGTAGCAAGGAATCTGTAGCCATTTGGACGTGGTCGATGAGTCGATCTGTTTCGGCATTACCGCTATGGGACCTATAGAGGCACCCGTAGACGCGCGGATGGTCGTCGCTGTCTACGCGTAGCCAAAGGATGGACAGGTCCGAACCTTCAAGACTGCCGAGGCGTCGAGAACAGATGTCCTCTCTGACATACACGCAAACTCCAGCCCGAGGCACAAAGGAGTGCTACAATTTGTACCCCGGGTAGGAGAGATACGAAGTATCAGCCGGAGAGGACACCTGCGTCTCGGTCAGAAAGAGCAAGGCCGGCTTCACCGTCTCGAGATGGTAGTGGACGGCGTTTAGGTTCGAGTGAAGTCCCCTGATGTTGCAGAAATTCACGGATAGCGTGGCAGGGGTCACCTTGGTATTGTTGCTCAGTTTGCAATATCGAAAACATAGTGATATATCGATATATCGGCTTTATTTAAAAGAAAACAATCGTATGTTAACTCAAAAATGTTTTACATTTTTTATTATTTAATATTTTTAACAAGCAAATTAAATTATAAATGTATGAGTGTTAGGTTATATAGTTCTTAGTAATTATTGTTTAATTTTAATAAGATAATTATGTGTACCTATTATTTTTAGTAACAGTTTTCAAAAATACTCGTTGTTTTATATATTCAGCTGTTTGAAAACTACGATTATTGGAAACTAAAAGATTAATTGTAGATATATAGGTAATTCGTTCAGATGCTATAGTTATAATATAGCACGGAAGTAAATCATAAGACGCCTAAGCGACCAAAATAACTTGAGGTTTATATCAAAATCGAAGCACTTGTTTCGTCATTTTCTCAGTTCACATGCGCAGACACTTAATATACATAATCTTCTTTAAAATTAATTAATCTTCTTTAAAAAACGTTACCCCCACACTATATATACGATTTTCTCCTGTGTCGTGGAGGCAGTTTACAAACATAAATTGCACAAGGACAAACATCCAGACCCGGAACAATTATTTGTAAGCCATACAAACACTTGTTCCGTGCGGGATTCGAACCCGCGGCCCCCAGCGCAACAACTGATTGCTAAGCCACTGCGCCACGGAGCCGTCATATTTCGAATCGCATCACTTTTACGTATAAAAATCCACTTCAAACGATTATTTAAACGATGAAACAGGAGAAACAATCCGCCGACGGTCAAGTTCCTGCCAAAACTCACAGTAAGTAAAGTAGTACTAAGTTTCATAAATTATAGTCATTTTAATACCACAGATATATTATACAAAATTATATTTCTTTTTAAGATTATAAGCAAATAAATAAACTGGGAAAAATGAAAAGCATAATATAGTGTAAATAAAGTACAGTAGATTGGGTCCATCAAGGATTAGTATTTAAGTTTACGATGGTGTTGTAGATTAAATGATTTACGCGAAAAAAAAAACTTATTATTTTAAAAAAAACTATACTACTCTCGATATTTATATTTCAATATCAAACTATATACATGCTGTATATATCAGAAATAAATATCGATATGTCTAAACAATAATATCGTTTTTTCGATATATCGATATTTTATCAACAGTCTTAGTTCAAACTACAAAACGGAACGGATTTCATTTCTCGATCGACGGAACCGCAGCCGTGTGCGTTTGGTTGGTGTGACTCCTATAAAATAAAAATGTCATTTCATATCTATTATTATACAAAGTGACGATGAAGTTATCACGTTAAATGAAAAGACGTATTCTATACAAAGTTCTTTAAACATACACAACTAAAAAAATATATAACAATTAACATTCTGGGCGCGGTAGCCTTTTTTTTGTTTTAATATTAAACAACATCATGTAAATGCATCAGATATCACCTGATAAATACTAGAAGTTCAAAGACCCATGGCCCGTGAAGGCCAAGAGACCTATATTGTATTATAGTGCAACGTTGCCAATTTTAAATAATCAAATAAAGTAATAAATTAAGCAAAAAATGTACTTATATGTAACAAAATAAGGCATAATTCTTATGCGCGATGCGACAAGAATTGGGACGGGGTGTTGGGAGGGTGGGATGTGGTCGATTGGCGCGTGCGACGATAATCACTTAGTCCGACGCCGGCGTCCTTGGGAACGGTTCATTAATCGCTTGACCTAATTTTAGTTTTTCGCGTACACGTCCTTTTAATTTAAAGTTTTTTTTTGTGGATATTTTCATAAGTTTCTTGATTTGTTTGTGATAGGACACGTTAATACTATAATAATAATTGTGTTGAGGAGGTGGTGTGACTATTTGTGCGAAATTTGACGCTTTCTTTTACTGTCTTGTATTTTTTATTTGTGATAGGACTCGTTAATAATAGATAAGTGATATTTAATAACTTAGTGGTGTGTCAGCCCGTGCGCAATTGGACGCTTTTATTTTTTTAAACGTATAACTTTTTTTATTTTAAAATGCCTCGTATCAATTTTACGTCATTGGAATACACCGATATGGTTTTAATTTATGGAGAATGCCACCAAAACGCGTTCCTGGCATTACGAACATACCGAGAGAGGTATAATACCACACGTGTATGTCCTACAGACTCACGGATTTTTTCTTTTTATGGGGTTACATAAAAAATGAGGTGTACTCTACTGAAGTAACGACTGTCGAGGACTTAAAAATAAGAATAATGCAGGCTTTCGACAAAATAAAAAATTTTGCAGCCAATGGTGCCCTCTTTCGAAAAGTCCGAAATAATATCATGCGACGATGTTAATTATGCATTCGGGTACACGGCGGACATTTTGAAAATTTAAAAATTTGATTTGTTTCATAAACTTGAGTGATTTCAAGGTTAAAGTGATTATTTGGATAAAAAAATACCATGAAATTTGTGATTTGTTGATAACATCGGATTAGCATCGCCCTACGCGTGCCTAATTACCTATGTATGGGCAAGTCCTAGGACCTAGGTATTATAATATAATTACCTATATCGATGTCGCATGAGCAATGAACCGCTGGCCGCGACGTTGCCGCTTCTACAAGTTATTTCAGGTCAGTTAAGTAATATTATCAAGGATGATTTATTTTATGTGATTTTTTACCCTATTTATTTTGTTTGAAAGATGCATTTTTTATTAGTTTTTATTATTGTTTATTTTATTATTTTAACAGACATATATCAACTTGTATTAACTGTTGTGCTATTTAACGTGATAACCTGGGCGCCACCCAGTATATAGATTTTATTCATTATGGTAAATTTTATTTATTTAATAAATGTGTTATTTATTTTTAACTGTTTATTTTAATAATTAAAAATTTAATTACCTATCTGTAGAGCGGGCGACACCCTACTGATACCTAGGTAGCCTAGCTAACCGGTAGATATATAACGCTAGACCTTGAACGAATGACGGAGCCCTGCTATAAGCACGCTCATTCACGGTTAGTTTGGCGTTATGCAAATGAACTGAAGCCAGCGGATTATGGTGCACCCAGAAAAATCCATTCAGAAAAATCATTGAATTCTAAATACTGAGTACAAGTAACTTGGTCATTTAAATAGGAAATGGTGTTTTTTGAAGTACGCAGATATTTTCGTCTTCTGGTTGTAGCTGGTTATGCTTTTTTCATTCTGCCTTGTATTTTATTGCCTGTAAAATATATGGCCGATTTCTAATTTTAAACCTACTTGGGAGTTTTGCTGGTTCTTTAATTGTCTAAAAACATAATAAAGTGGGTAATGATACTGTTTTTACTATTACACAGTCTGGCAATAAGCCACAAACCACAATATATCTGAAAGGGTATTTCAACTAGTTACTTCTTGAGCCCTTTCAAATGAGCCCAAACACGATGGTGTTTCGTAGTGGCATAACTGAGATATTTTACCCCACCTTCTAAGTCCAACATCATGAAGGTAATATCATCAATACCTTCATGATGTTGGACCATCATTTACCTAGGTCTTTATAAGCCCTTTCAAATGAGTTAAAACACGATCGTTTTATATAGTGCCGCCACTAAGATCCTATACCTACCTTCGGATTGCACCATCAGAAAGGTGAGGTCATAACAGTCACCTAGGTCTTTATGAGCATATTGAAATGAGTTCAAACACAATCCTTCTACCTAGTGTCATCGCTGAGATCCTATACCTACCTTCGGATTGCATCATCAGAAATACGAGGTCATAACAGTCACCTACGTCTCGATGATCCCATTCAAATGAGTTCAAACACGAACGTTCAGATCAAACACGAAACAGTGTCGTCACTGAGATCCTATACCCACCTTCGGATTGCACCATCAAAAAGGTGAGGGCATAATAGTCACTTAGGTCTTTATGAGCCCATTCGAATGAGTTCAAACACGCTCGTTCTATCTAGTGCCATCACCGAGATCCTATACCCATCTTCGGATTGCACCATCAGAAAGGTGATATCATCACAGTCGTCTAGGTCTTCATTTACCTATTTGAAAATGAGTCCAAACACAATGGTTCTACGTAGCAGCATCACTGAGATCTTTTACCCACCTTCTGAGTCCACCATAAGGAAGGTGACATCATTACAATCACCTTGGTCTCTATCTACCCTCAAACCAACTTCTTTAAATATATAAAATAAATTAAAATCTAAACAGCATACAAATAATGTAAGTAGCTACTAAGAAAGTATGTACTTACCAATAATTGAAACGAACTGAAGACAGCGGATAACGGTGCGGCAAAATGCGTGGGTTGCCGTCAGTCAAAAATTTCAACTTAAGATTTCACACTCACGATCAATTTTTGGATGTATGTCATTTCAACTGAGCAGTTTAAATGGCAGTACGCCCGAAAAAATCCGTGGGATGCCGTCCGTTAAAAATTTCACTCACGATCAGTTTTTGGATGTACGTCAGTTAAACTGATCAGTTTAACTGACTGTGTCTGGGGCCGCTTATAGTATAAAACAAAGTCGCTTCCCGCCTTACGCTTAGATCTTTTAAACAACGCAACGGATTTTAATGCAGTATTCATTAATAAACAGAATGATTTAAGAAAGTTTATATATATATAATACATGTATATTATACATAATATAATTCTTCTGTCCGTGTGTATGTGACTAAACTCCTCCCAAACGGCTGGATCGATTTTGATGAAATTTTGTGTGTGTGATTAAGGTGATTAGAGAATGATTTAGTTTCACTATTGGACACGGTAGGTGACGTTGTCGAGCGAAGTCGGGGCAGATCGCTAGTAACGTATATATAAGAAGAACCGCATTGACAATTCCTGTCTGTTTTAACCGACGTGGAAAAAAGGAAGAGGTTATCAATTCCACTGTATTTTTGTGTGTTACTTTTGAACTTTTTTATAGGTGAACTGATTTTGATAATTCTTTTTTTATTTGAAAGCCAGTGCTTCTCGTGTGGCCCCTTTTAAATTTGATCAAAATCTGACCCCGGTACTTTTTGAGTTATCCTTACTAATGCGTATTTGACTTTGACTACATTGATGATGTTCTCATTTTATTTATATTGAAGTCGATCGTACAAGTTTTTTAATTATACTACTTGTTTAATATCTTTCCAGGTGATCGAGTAAAAGAGAACATTCGATGGATAGATACTCGAACTCAAATTCTATGTATACCATGCATTCTGATTTTCCTTCTGGCCTCTTACGAGCAGTATAAAAGCAACGTCATACTAGCTAACCTGCGCAAAGATAAGAAGACAGGCGCCGTGGTCACTGAAGAGCACAGAGTACCTCGCGGCAGGTTGTTCGAGTGCGTCTCCAGTCCGCACAGACTATGCGAGGTTATCCTCTACATCGTCATCGCTGTTCTGATACCTACGAAGACGATGATAATTATGTGTGTGTGGGTGCTTTGCAATCAGGTGAGTTTACTTTAGCGCTATATGGTGACGTAAGAATATCCCTCATCCGCGTGGTGAAGCAAGATTGAATTGATTGAACATGAAATGATTTAAAAAGTAATAATAAAATGTATGTGTAAATTATCTCAATATTAGGTACCTATATATTTCAAAAACTTTATGTATCGCCACAATATACGTTATATTTTAATCAAGTTTTACTGAAAAATCTATTTTTCAGATTTTTTTGGCATCAATTAAAAAGTTATACATCTGTTGTTGTTCAAGGTCATTGGCAGCCTGCCCCCCCCCCCTTCTGCTGAGCCATTGTATAACTTATTTCGTGCTGCGGATATCGTAAAATACCGACTATAGGAAATGTCACAAAAATCAATAGATGGCGGTAGAACAATCTCGTTTACGCCAGATGTTAAACACCCAGACCGTCGATCGGGTGCAGTGCCAGAGCAAAGTAGAAGGGTTCCAGACTTTTTTATAGAATAAGAATGACAAGCAAGCTCACATCCCACCTGGTGGTAAGTGGATGTTATGGCCCATAGACATCTACACCTATCTTCGATTAAGAATCAAAATACAGATGCGTTGTTATCCCTGAGGACTAAGATGGAATGCCTCGTCAAAAATAGTCTCCGGTTCTCGACACTCACCATATGAAACACAGCAGCATTGGGCTTTTATTGCACGCTGGTATTGTATGAGAGCGGTTGTTGCTCCCCCGTCCAGCCGACCCATTCGTGCTACAACCATAATGTAGCTGCAACGTGGCACTACCATGTAAAAAGACTTTTGTCAGTCATCTTGCCACAAACACACAACACAAACAGTAGATATTTATGGCTTGAAGATGAGTTAAATTATTGAAAAGAAGAGTTTGAATACATAGTGTGTAAAACTTATTTATTAATTGATAACAATCTAGGGAAACGGAATTGTAGGGTGACCCACCACTAGATGGAGTGACGATCCGGTATTTAATAAATCGATAGATGCAGGTGTGTTGTGGCATTCTTTAGGAAAGGCCTATGTGCAGGAGAGGACTTGCGAAGGGCTGCAATGAAGATAATGATGATGATGATGACGATAAACAAACCACGGCTGGACATCAGTCCCTTTTCTATTGAAGAATCACAAACGAGCACATAGTTCACCTGATGGTAAGTAGAGGCATGTGGACTATAGACCCCTTGTGTTCTCGATAAGAATCAAAAATGCACATGCATCATTACCCCTGAGAGTGATAAAATGCCTCGTTACTAGTAGCTGTTAGTTACGGAGTCTCCGGTTCTTGTCATTCACCTTGCATAACATAACACCAATATTCAATACGGCCGAACCGACCCATTCGAGCTACAATCATAATATAGCTGGAGCGTGGCTCTAACACATAGATTTCTTTCTTATTTATATCATATCTATCAGAATGTCCGTCTGTTTTGTGAAGCTATTTTACATTTGTTTCGTGCGGAATTCGAACCCGCGGCGCTGTAACTGAAGCCATCTAAACTCGGACCAAAGTAATGTTGTAGCCGGATATTTGATGAAATCATGAGCAACACTATGGATAGTGTAACTCTAGCTTCTGAAGTCGGGACTTCATACTGTCACTTCAGAAGCGGTTAGGAGATTTTTTTATTAGATCATATAAGGTGATTGGGGGTAATAAGGCCTAAGTATAAAAAAATCGTATTTATAATAACCGCACTCGCTTAAGGAGATAATAACAGACTCCTATTACACGACAATGTCACCAGAATTACATTATCTATCATAAGATACGACCGCACTGCACCAATAATAAAACCAGTCCAAATAAATCGAAAGTATGATCTGTAATATTACACTTAGCTATCTAAAATCGTAACCTTTATCTTTATGAATAAAAAATGCTTTGTTGATCTTGAAGATTTGAGTAAAGTATCGTGGTCATTTTTTTTAATTTGGTCTTTTCTCTGGGCGATTATTTAGGCCTACTAAATTTCATCATATTATGCCTTACTAGACTCCTTTTTCTTGAGGACTTTTTTTTGTTTTATTATGAATTTTATATCACTTTTAAAATGTTATAAATGCAAATAAATCGTACGCTTTTATTATTAAACTAATGTCGTAGTCAGAAAAAGGCCTGGTTTCAGCTGTCCAAACAGTACAAAGACAAAGTGTGTCGAAGAATTAAGGCTTTGACATTACAAACTATTAAATTATGTGAAAATTATTGGTACTGCGCTAAGCTCACTCGAACCGCGTCGGATTGCGATTTGATGATTGTGAGCGAATAGAGAGTGCACCTGTGCTTGCACATACATTCAGATACTATAATTCTGTACTGTGCTGATTGGGTAGTCTCCGTTGAGACTGGCCGCTGTGACAGAAATTTGGTTGTGAGGACACAACCCAACAATACACCCAATTCTCAACTCAACCTAACACTCAACTCAACTCGACACACAACTGACGCACTGACAATAATCACGAGGAGTGAGATCGTTTGTCAGTTTGTTCATTATTATACAAATGACTTTAAGTACTGTTAGGCGAGGCAATTTATATATTTTTATTAGAATTTTAAGTATTGATTGTGGCATTCATGTGATTATTGATCACAAAAATTAAATATATTACGTATAAATTGATTATTTGAGTTCGTTAAAGCAGTAGGCCTTATTACCCTACCCTACCTTATGGCCAACTAGCAAGGTTTTTAGAAATGTTCAATTTTGTTTTTCTTTATGGCACATGTTACAATTATTCCTATATACTTTATAGAAACTGTACTAAAGTAATGATTTTTATTAAAATCTGTAGACCAAATTAGATATTTCTGATTTTATTTTCGATTTTCCCTTTGCTAGGCCTTATTACCCGCAGGTAACTTATTTTTCCTTAGACCATAATATTATTACCTATTTTTCCTTTTAAGTTCCATGAAGTCTGCTTTTACCATATTATATTAAAAGTTAAATGTTTTATTATAATATTTTGTAGACTAGATAAGGTGTAAAAATAAATAAAACTTCGGTTTATAATCGATACTGATATATTTAGGTAGGTAGGTAGGTAGGTAGTATCAATATGCTGTCATTTAAGTCACTGTTAAACGGTTATTTTATTAATGTTTACGCAAAGAAACCAAACGTCGTAAGTTGTGACAAAGCCAATTACGATTCTCAACAGAGACTGTGTAGTCGCAATAACACAGCAGTTTGTTTACAACAAAAAACATATAACCCTATGATCGTTTATTTCAGGGCCAGTATGCCGTCCTCGCCCACGTGTGGTACAGAAAAACTTTCAAAGACTACCCCGTCAACAGGATGGCAATTTTTCCTTATTTATTGTGATTAACCAAATTTATTTATTGTTAACTTTATTTAAAAAAAACAATGTTTTATAATGTTATTACAGTTAAAATAAAGAAATAAATAGTGAATAGTTTGCGTAAGGGGACCGACACCACCAATACTAAGAAATAGAGAGAGGGAGAGAGAAAAAGAGTGAAACTATTGTAGTCATAATGTGCAGTATGTTTGAATAAAGAAATGCATTTGACTTCCTGGAACTGAAATAAAAACAGTATTGGTACAGTGGGTCACAAGAATACTTTATGACAACAGTTGTCGCTTTTAACTTTTAAGTCACCGGAACATAGGTACAAGTCGCGACACGTAAGTCTAGCGCTGAGCGAACCACTAGACTTTCGTGACGTTATTTATAACTAATTAATTTATTTTCTTCTTTGATCACATGTCATTTCCAAAAAAAAATTCCTATTAAGTACAGAATCCCATTTGCAAGCTTTTAGATTTTACAACTGATTCATTAAAATATTTATACGAAAAAAAAATAGTATATTTTGTACGAAACAGCCAATCAAATTAAGCATTGCCAATCAACTGCAATTCCGTTGGTGTTGCAGTTGTTAATGTTCAGTCACTTAACATCTGGTGAGCCGCATGCTCGTTTGCCCCCTCTCCTATAAAAAAATGAGATAGTGATGATGGTAAGAAAAATAAAACATTTATCTCGTTAATTCCCATTTATTTCTTAAGTTTAATAATGAACTACACTTCAAAAATAAATGTTTTGTTTTTCTTACGATACACTTTTATCAAATTGAACTCACAATAAATTATCTCTTGAAATAAAATATATACTTATACTCTCACTATTTGAATAGAAAACTGAAAAAAATAAAAAAAATTATTTATTATTTGGTAGATTGGTGTTATATATTTTATGTTAATTTTGTTTTGACATTACTTTTTTTATACATAATGGGTCGCCCAAAAACAATTACTTAAAAATAAAATTGATCATAATTAAAAATGTCTAATCATTTGTGGTAGCTCAGGGTTCCAAACTCAAGTTCGCTCCTAACCAGAAACAATGAAATTTTATCTTATTTTTTATAGAATAAAGGTAGATAGAACCACACAGTCCATCTGGTGATATGTAGATGCTGTAAAGAATCAAAACGCAGATGCATTGTCACCCCCGAGGACTAAGATGGAACGCCTTGTTTCCAGTAAAAAGGGTCTCCGGTTCTCTACACTCAGCATATGAAACACAGCAGTATTGATCTGCTATTTTACGCTGTTATTCTGCGAGAGCGTGGTGGTCCTTTCCCTTCCGAGCCAACCCATTCATGTTACTACCACAATATAGCTGCGGCATGGCTCCAACACGTTTATGGGGCACAGCATCCACTTACCATCCAGTGGAATGTGTGCTTGTTTGTCATACTATCATCAATATATTAATCATCATTCATCATTCATCTTCATCATTACAGCCTTTCACAAGTCCACTGCTGAACATAGGCCTCCCCCAAGGAATGCCACAAAGCACAGTCTTGAGGCACCTGCATCCATCGACTTCCTGCATATCTTACCAGGTCGTCACTCCATCCAGTGGGGGGACACCCTACACTTCGTCCGCCGGTACGAGACCGCCACTCGAGAACCTTTTATTCCCCATCGGTTGTCGGTTCTTCGAGCTATATGGCCGGCGCATTGCCACTTCAGCTTACTGATCCGTTGGTCTATGTCGGTCACTCTGCTTCTACTGCGGATATCCTCATTTTTAAGTTTATCATGCAGAGAATCTCCGCGCATAGCCCTCGCCATAGCTTGCCGAGCGACCTTGAGCTTCCTCATACGGCCAGTTATGAAAGACCACATCTCAGTTCATCAGTCAATAGGTCATCACTGGCAACACGTACTGGTTGTACAGTCTCGTTTTAAAGTTTTGAAGTATGTCTGACGAGAAGATGTGCCGTAATTTCCCGAACGCTGCCCAGACGAGTTGAACAGATCGATTGACATCTCGGCCGAAGTTGGGCTTACCTAGTCGGACTATTTGTCCCAGGTAAACATACTCCTCAACAACTTCGAGCTTAATGCTCCCAACAACTACCAGCATAGGTGTGACATAGACATATACATGGTTTTTGTTTTGTCCATGTTCATCTTAAGACCTTTCCGTAGGGAGGCACTATCGAGGTCATTGAGCATAGTATTTAGGTCCAACAGCGATTCTGTCATACTATATCTTATATTCTCTCTCTATCTCTATATCTTCGGCAAATCGAAGGTGAGTGATGTACTCGCCATTGATATTAATGCCGTACAAAGGCTTACTCATGATCCACATACGCCTAACATAGTGGCAAATTGTACTCCTCGGACCTCTGTACATTTTGGCGAAGGGTATGTATATCATCTATGGTGCTAAAGCCTTTTCGAAAACCGGCTTGTTCGGGAGGCTGGAAGCCGTCGAGTCTGCATGCTAGACGATTCGTAATAACTCTTTAAACAGCACGTAGACGCGGCTAAGAAGGGAAATTGGTCTGTAGTTCTTCAAGAGAGCGTTGTCGCCTTTCTTGGAGAACAAGACCACCGCAATTCTGCTCCACGCCTCCGCAGTAGTACCACCATAGAGGAGGGAATTAAAGAGCTTCTGAAGGACTTCAAGTACCGTTTTTCCACCTGCTTTCAGAAGCTACGCTGTAATTCCATCCTCGCCAGGGGCCTTGCCGTTTTTTAGGTACTGGAGAGCCGTTCTAATCTTGCTCGGACTGACGTTCAGAATATCATCGGAATAGTTTCGGATAAGGCTTGCTCTTGGATTGTTACTCACACTTACGTGTGGCTCCAACGATGATATGTACAACTACCCATAGAACCTCTCAATCTCACTCAAAATCTCAGGTGTCCCGGAAACAACGCTGCCACACTCGGTCTCCAGCTTTGACAGTTGGCAATTTCTGGCAGACAGATCTCTAGCAAAAACTTTGGAGCTCTGGTTCCGTTCGATCGCTTCTTCAATACAAACATTATTAAAATTGACTTAGCCCCACCGCATGCATTTGGAGCTCTGTCTGTTCAGTTGCCTGTATGCTGTCGAATCTACTGAAGACTGCAGCTTCATTTTCCGTCTAACAGCCATGAGACTAAGAGTGAGATCAGAGAGTCTTTATGCTCTTTTGCGGCCGGTCTTGTAAAACTTAATTCCGACTGCATGAACAGTTTCCACGAGCTTGGCATTCATATAGTCCACTGCATTGCAATGTTCTAGGCACTGAAAACGGTTTTATAGCTCGAGCTGAAAGTTTTCAGGACTTTGATTAGAGCACGAGGGGGACGGAGCGTTGACTTCATTAGACGTGACCTCTCCAACTTAACGTTTAGATTCAATGTACCTCTCACCATTCGTGTTCGTTGCCGGTTTTCACCCTCGCGATCACTGAGATATCACTGAAGAGTTGTCGTCTGGTCGTCATAATGAAGTCAATTTCATTTTTTGTCGAACCGTCTGTGCTCGCCCAGGTCCACTTCCTGTGGGGTCGCTTCTGGGAGAAAGAGTTCATGATAAGGAGTCTCTCTTTCTCCATGAAGTCGGCCAGCTGCTGACCCCTTGGGTTCCGTTGCCCTATTCCAAATTTCCCTACCTTCAGCTCACCGTTATCTCTTGTGCCTAGTTTTGCATTAAAGTCTCCCACTAACACCGTATAGTGGGTTTGGGAGGAGTGCATGGCTCTAGAGATATCCTCATACAATTCCCCCACCTCCTCATCGGGATGTGCCGACGTTGGTGCGTAAACCTGTATGACCTTCAGCGAATACCGTTTGGTGATTCTGAGTATAAGGTGCGCAACCCTCGTCGACTCACTCCCGATCTTTACAACGTTGTTAACGAGAGACTTGTGGACGATAAATCCGACACCTCCTTGGGACAGATGGTCGCCCTACCGGTGATAGAACAAGTTGACGGATTCGAGGATTACCGTGTCCTCCCTCTCTCTTCGGACCTTGGATAATCCTACGATATTCCAGCGCAACTTGTTTCGCAATCTCTTTTAGGATCTTATCGTCAGTCCTAAGGGAGCGTGCGTTATATGTTTCCAGGTCGAGTCGTCATTGGTGGCAACCGAACCTCCACCGGAGATTCTTAGCACCCCCTGCCCCGCCGTTACCATGGGTGCCACCGTAGCCAGGAATAGCGGGACCGCCGGGGACTGGGGGCCATCTTTTTTTTTATAGGAGAGGGGGCAAACGAGCATGCGGCTCACCTGATGATAAGTGACTACCGGCGCCCATGAACTGCTGCAACACCGGGGAGGGAATCACAGATGCGTTGCCGGCCTTTTAAAAAGGAGTACGCTTTTTCTTGAAGGTCCATAAGTCGTATCGGTCCGGAAAAATCGCTGATGGTAATCGATTCCACAAGGAAGTCGTGCGAGGAAGAAAACATCTTCTAAATCGCACAGTGGTGGACCGCCAATCATCCAGATGGTGTAGATGGTATCGGGAGTTCTGTCGCGATGTGCGTTCGTGAAATTTGGCGGCTGGGATTAATCCGAACAATTCCTCAGAGCACTCCCCGTGGTAGATGCGAAAGAAAATGCAAAGGGATGCAACATCTCTTTGCAGTGCCAATGAATCGAGCCGATCGGAAAGGGCTCGGTCGTCGACGATTCTAGCCGCTCTGTGCTGGATGCGGTCAAGTGGAAGGAGCTGGCACTGGGGAGCCCCTGCCCAGAGATGGGAACAGTATTCCATGTGAGGCCGAACCTGCGCCTTGTAAAGTTGCAGTCGGTGTGCCGGCATGAAATACTGTCCTGCTCTGCTAAGCACGTCAAGCTTTTGAAGGCCAATTTGGCCTTCTCTTCCAAGTGACCACGAAACTGCACGTCACTCGATATGTCGACTCCGAGTATTGCGACAATGGCTGAGGCAAGAAGGGAAGTGCCTTGAAACTGAGGAGATACGACAAAGGGGTTTTTTTTAGCGGTAAACGCGCAAACTTGTGTCTTCTGAGGATTAAACTGGACTAGATTTAG